AACTCAGTTACTGTTTATAAACTACTTTAGCCTCAGGTAAACAGAGTTCCAAGAATAATTTCATTAAATTTCTGCTACCCCTTTCGTCCTGTTGAATTGGATTTTTGTGCAGTGTCACAAACTTGCTGGTCCTCATTTTTATGGGGGCCTTGTTTTTAAGCATATTGTATGTTACGATGACAGATGTATTAATAATGTCATTTGTAGAGCTATGCAGCCCCCATATACCCATGGGGTTTTTGGTTAATATATGTTTACTTCATTCTTGGACCCCTGATACAGCATGCTTATGAGTGACATAGAACAGCAACAATAAGCATCAGCTAAAATCACTTTTAATTATTGGATACAGTGATGCTTTTGGATGCATACTGCTTCAGCATTTGGTCTGGACCAGTTTCGCTTTGTTAGGGGTAAGAAGAATTGGAGTAATAAGTGCTTTACTTTTACAACATTAATGCTCATTTTCCTTTTATTCATAAATAATGTCTAGAGTGCATTGGCTTGTGCTGTGGGTATTGGTGTGGAGTAGGGCTGCTACCATAAATGCGGAATACGGTGCTCGTTTGAACAGCTTCCCAGTAGAGTTGCTCCGTTTACCGTTCATTTAAATTTCAACTTTGTATAACTGCAATATGCTTTGTGTAATTAATACGCAGATAGTTCCATTTCTTACTCATGTCTTGGTGGTAGCACAGGAGTGCGTTTCCTTTGACAGGGCCAACACCAGCTCTAGTTATCCAAAGTCCTACATGTGTGTGCAAAGTCAAATTGAGCTGACTCCTCTAGCTGTAGGAGATCTGTTTTATAGTAAAATATTGACTTAAACCAGAATTTGGCATTTCTTAACAATGATTTAAAATAGTTCCACTCTGAAATTGAATTTTTGTGTAAATTTGTGTTGGAAAGTCATTAACTCCGTTTCATCATACAAGCTTCTTAGAACGTATCTTTGTCCCTTGGGTTTTAGGTGTGAAGTTTTAAATTCTGCTACTTTTCTGGTTTCTCTTGAGTCAGGTATATAATATAACTGCAGTCTGAATACTTTTGGATTACTCATGAATTTAATAGCATATTTTCCCCTCCCCCTTCTCTGTCCCTTCTCTCTCCCCCTCTGTTTTTCTCTCTCCTTGCATGCAACCTGGATCTGCAGATGAAATTAGTGGGGACGGTAATATGTTTTCTAGTCTGTGTGTTACTTACGTGCAGTATGCAACTCTTACATCCATATACCACTTAATGCGCATTTCAGTAATCAAGTTTATACAAATTGTAGTATTAAAAAGCACTCTGCTTTGGACATTAGCTGATAAATATTGTGCTTTACAGGCTGTGCGACTAACACTTTTTGCTCAACTGGAATTGAAAAAGGAAAATTATTTCAAACAGCCAGGGATGCGGTATTGCATGCATGAGAGTTCTGGCATGATGCAAAGAAGGTTTATAGGTTTGCAAGAGTGTCCATTCAGTTTGATTGAAATGGTTCTGTCACAGAATTTTTTTGGTCAGTGCGTGAGATCAATGGATGTAAAACGTGAGAAATGAGTCTACTACATGACGCTTTGAAGGCATGGTAGCATCAAAGTGCTCTGTAGTCCACTATTGTTCCTTGCGTAAAAAGAAGCTGTACAAGATAGATGTAGATTGAATACATGAAACATTAATCAGGTTTCAGCTAACTGCTGATTTTAAGGACAGATTTTAATGTTTTTCTTTAAAACTTTGAAACTTATTGCAAAATATTTAGCTTCTCCAGACTTTATAAGTCCTTTTTCTAGAAAACACTTCCTTGCTATCCTCTGAAGACAGGTTGGGTTTTGGTTTTGTTTTTTTTTTTTAAAGACATTTTTAGCTTTTTTTCTAAAGGATTCTATCTGATATTGGAAAAAAATCAAACCACTACTATTGATAATGTATGTATCTTTATTGTTATAAGTAGGAGGTACTAAAAGAGCATAAAAAGCAGTATGCAAAGGAAGGCGATAAGAAGAAATAGAGGTAATGTCTTGTGGCCTTCCTCTCAGTAAAATGTAAAGGGGGGTGTATAACTTTTCTTCTCCTTTCTCTCCTTCAGATATAAATAAAAGATAATACTACCCCAATTTTCTTTCTTTTCTTAAACATTAAAAACTCAAAGGATATTTTTTTGGTCATAAATTCAGAAATTGTATTTCAGATACTAACCCTGCATAGCTTTTTATTGGTGCATATCTTCTATAAATTACAGGCTCTGATAAATGGGGAAAAAAATAATCGAAAGGGAAATTTCAAGCAGGTGATTAAGGTCATGGATTAGCTATTATGGATTTAATATCCTAGGATTTTCTACTGTTTAACAGCTGAAATTGGCTCATTCACCTGTACCACCCACACTGTATCTTTGTCCAAAAGCAACCTTTTTGTTTTTCCATCTAGAAGAAGCTGGGATTGATCAACAGGTGAAAAGGTTCAGTGCTGGTTTTAAAATAGGCAAAGAAAGCAGCAGTAATGAGCCTTATTTTTAAATCTTAGTTTTTCTAGACTTATCAGGGACCTTGAAGATAGAACATCTCCTGGAATCACTACTTTGTTGTGACTGTTGAGCTCTTGAGACTGCTGTAGCATATCCTTCTTCGTAAAGCAGCCTGGAGAACCTTGCCCAGCTGAGTTTTGCTTTAGGCTCTGTGTGGCTTCTGGAATATCTCTTAGCAGACATAGGCATAGTCTTAGCAGATTTGGTGATAGTCTCATATGTGACTCTAATTGTGGAGTAAAGACTGCATGTGAGAGAGGTCAGTTATATTTGTTACAGAACACTTTGAGCACATCACTGTTAATGCCTTTACTAATTTTTCCTCCAATTCCCAGAACAATGCCAGACATATATAGGAATATTTTTTCTGAATTCTTATTATATATTCCTCTCCAGAGTGTTAGATGTGTAACAAAAAATACTTCTGTAGTTAATTGAATACTTTTAATTCATTTGCATTGGCTACTGAAGACCCTTTTAGTTTCAGGATGGTTTTAGGCAGTGTATTAAAATCATGTAAAGTGCACTGTGGTGTTCTGATAATGCTTTTATTATTAATTAACTTTCTTAATTTAAAATAGAATGAGGCAGGCTACTTATCACATTTTGTAAGCACTGTTCCATAATCTAGAATTACGGATATTTTGTTTTTTTTAAAGACGAGTGTGGCACCAGTTCTAGTTTCCAAACTTTTTAAATTCTTCTCAGTTATGTTTAGAATATCTTTCATTCAGTATTTTTTTTATTTCATAGCCAGAGAACTTTCTGGTATCCTCAAATACTAGCTTGTAGCAATAGTTGATGTATATCACACTTGAAAAAACGTAAAAACATCTTACCACAATATTGCAAGGAAACAGAGTGATTTATCCCCATCAAATCGGTGTTGCACTAATGATTTTTTTAAAATGAGTGTTTATTTTTTAGATCAAACTGGGGCTTATTTTCTACAAAAACATTAGTTCATAATGTAGGGAGGAAAAAACATACCAAAGAAAGAGATCAGTGCCTCTGGAGTATGCTGCCTGTTTAGAATTGTGTGCTGCCTTTATAATTAATTGAATTTTCATTAAGTGAGTCTGTTTTGCTGTGTCTTAAACAGGAGTTGCCTAGCAAAAATTTAAACAGCATAGAATTCCTTGATTCTGTTTTTAGAAAACATGATCTATTCCTACAGGAGTTTGAAATAAAAAATAGCTTGAATTTTATTTAAGTAATACAAAGTTAGGATCATAAAACTACATTTACTCACTGAAGTGTGTAGAACTTCAAAGGTTAAAGGGAACCTGTAGTTTCCTGATTGTTGACTATTCAGTTTGTATGAAAATTAAGCCTCTCGCTCTGGTATTTATGAGCCTTGCTCTGGTTTCAGAGTTGGCTTAAGTTGGTTGAACTGAGGGCTGGTGCCAGAAGGGATCATCCCATCCTTCCTTCCAGTCTCACCATGGCTTTGTCCCATTCACCGTTCAGAAGCCATACCTATAGAAATGATGCCAGGGAGTTGTAGGGATATACATGTGCTCCAAGGCAGATGGGGAAAAAGGGGGATGTAAATCATGCCCTTCAGAGGTGGCCCAGTGTGTGATCACCTGAAACCAACCATGAAAACTGCATATTGGATTTGAAATTATTCAATTTTGAGAAGCTCTCTATGCATTTAAAGTTGATGAGTAGAATTTAACAGCCTTGCAGTGAAAAATTATCTCACTGTTGTGCACTGGTTTTGTAACCCCAGGAGGAATTTATCTGACCTTTAGGAAATGACCTGTGCACACTGGAAGTTCTTTAGAATAAAAGAAGGACCTGATATGACTTGACACCATTTAAAGCATTTTGAGAACAGATGATGTAAAAATCGTTGGTTTTGAACAGAGGAAGAAATACACTATCATTTTCAGAAAATTTGTTTTCACACACTGTCCATGAGAGGAAAATTGAGACTAATGCAAAAAAAATGGGTGTAAGGAAAGACTGTGACTTAAAAGATCTTTATGCTCTAGAAAAGTATGGAAAATAATTCACCTTGCCACATTGGCAGTAGGTAGATGCTGCCCTGGAACATCTTTACTGTCTGTTCTGCCTGTTTGACATAAAAAACTAGCAAACTATTACTCATTGAAGGTAAAACAATTTAATGCATTAATAATATTTCCTCCTTATGGCAGTGGTATTTGCTGTTTAAAAGATTTTCTTTGTAAGTCAAGAGTTTAGAGGGGTTTCAATTACAGAACTTGAACTTTATTGAGTACAAATGAATCTTCCTTTTATTCCATGTTGAATGCATCTATGTGACGTGGTATAATTGGCACAGAGGTCATTATCATACCATAAATTATGCATGAGCCAGTTTTATTCATGCTATTGTAACTGCATCCCAGCAATGTTGAAGTTGGGGGTTGTGACATCAGCCTTGATAAATTGGTGATATTTTTCTGGAGAATTGTTTTCATCTGCTTTTCCCGAAACTCTTCAATTCCTCCCTTTACAGAGACAGATGACTATGCAGAGATTATAGATGAAGAAGATACGTATACAATGCCATCAAGTAAGTATGGTAGCTAACTTGGGAACTTTTCTATCTGAAAGCTTTTTTGGTGTAGCGGGGATTGAATCTTGTATTTCAGACCTAAGTAATGTGTGTGGGAAGAAAATATTCTTTATGATGTTCTGAAAATTCACAGATCAAATGTTTTTCAAGTTCAGGTTTTGAAGCAAATAAAATCAAATTCTGTTTTGCTGCTGTCAGTGGCTTCACAGTGAAATTCCTTTTTTGTCTCAAAATGTAGATTTTTTTTTTGATAGTGATGCTGAACACACCACTTAAAGAATGGATGAGATTTATGCGATAAGAGTGAACAATTTGGAAAGCTGCTGTGTATTACTGTCTAACTGTATCTCACCCTTGCTCTAGGACGAACTTGCTACTCTCAGATTCCATGATAGAGGAAAGTCATCTGTACCACATGCAATTTTGTTAAAGATGAAAGACTTTAGGAACAAACATTAAAATTCAAAGTTCTTCTGAGTCTTCATCTTTGAATAACAAAAAACAAGATTCATTAGCCACTACAAGGATTTTGTCTTATGGCATATTTGAATTATAATATAATCTTAAACTGTCAAGGCTAACTAATACAACATGAAAGGGGGAAGTGGTGGAGTCACCATCCCTGGAGGTGCTCAAGAAACGTGTAGATGTGGTGCTTAGGGACATGGTTTAGTGGGTTAGGTGGTGTGGGTTGATGGTTGGACTTGATGATCCTTAAGGTCTTTTCCAACCTTAATGATTCTGTGATTCTATGAAAGTCTAGTAACCTGATTTTAAAAGTTGTGTCTGCAAAATTCCAGTTGTGTTTTGGCAACCAAAGATTTCTCTCGAAGTAGACAATCAGTTGATACGCAGACCTGAAAAAGTCAGGTTTAGTTGGTGTAAGAAGGGAGGATGACGCCAAACTGGTACCATGTTCTGCTGAAGAACCATGAATGTACATAAGGATTTATAGAGTTTACCATGTGGCAGGGATGTTTCATGATAACTTCAGCATTTACAACGTAGTTTCCACTACTGTGGAAAACATCTGAAAAGCAAGAATATATGTTTTTTAAAACATATATACATGAACATAAATATTTGAAAAGCAAGAATATATGTTTTTCAAAACATATGTATGTGAACATAAATATCTGAAAAGCAAGAATATATGTTTTCCAGAAATAAACAATGTGTTTTGAATGTTTTGCAGTAAGTCACTACCTGATTCTACTAAAATAATTGCAGGTTCAAAAAGTACTGTGATAAATTATATCCTTTTCTTTTTTGTTAACATATTACCTTTGTGTCATTATTTTTTTCCTAAGCTTTTAATTTAAATTCTCATGGAAGTAGTTACTTGTGGGCCCAGACCTGGATGATGCTGAACGCTTAAGTATGCCTTCAATTCAAAGCCCATGAGATGGGCTGTTGAAGTGAAATTCATTAAGTATTTTGCTGGATTGAATTGACTCAAGTGTTCAGTTGTCAAAGGACTGAGTCAGTAAAGATCACAAGAACAGACCTGTGACTTCTGCTAATGTAAACTTAAAATTGCATCAGTATATTTCTTCATTTTTTAAAACAATGTTAAAAAATGTTTGTCCTTGTCTTGATTTTAAGAAGCTATATCTAAGTAAGCATTTGATTTTTCTCTTAATTGCACTGCAGAAAGCTATGGAATAGATGAAGGTAACAGGAGACCCTTTACCCATCCCTGTATGCTTGCAATTTGGAATGATGTGGAATTTTTAAGTTTACTATTCACTTTCATTTAATAAACATTATTTATTTATAGTTAAACTAGCTAGCTTTGGGGTTTTAAAGAGGAAAATGCAGTACTTCAAAAAAATAAAAAGGCAATAATCACTTTGTTATCCAGCTCTGATGACATTATTTTTGTAGTGTTAATGAAGTCAAAATCATCAGTCATGAAGTCCTAAGCTGGCTGATTATATTTTTTCTCTGGATAATACAAGTAGAGGTGAAAACATATACTGTACATGCTTTTCTGCTATTCCTGAAATAGATTTCCATGTCTGCTAGAAATTAAATTGCAAATGAAGTAATTCAGTTGCAATTGATTAAATGTTTTGCTGAAGTACTGAGCCATTTTTATCAGTAACATTCTCAGTCTGTTAAACAACCAACTTAACAGAATTGCATGAGTCCACAAAGCAGATCAATTTTACTCCAGTTACACACTGATAGAGGTGTAGTGCACTCAAAATTTTGCTCTTTATCTTTTTTTTGCTGTGCTCTCATTTCTGTATTTTTTTTCTTGCAGTTACCTCTTTAAAAATTCTCCAGGCTCATTTGATGGTTCCAAAATCTTAAATACCGCATTGTGGAGTTCTCTTAAACATACAAAGGGATGTGTGCTAGGGCTTTATTTAATATCATTGGTATTGCCCTAGGCTATTTGTGTTCTTTGTCCTTTACTAGCTACAATTAAGAAGGATTCAATTATGTCTATTGCATTGAAATAAATAATACATCGTAGTTAATTTAGCAAATTAGATTTCACAATTCCTTTTTCAGTGCTTTGATTCAAACATTTGTTTAAGAGGTTTCCACTGTGTGTATGCAGCATTATTGTAGGTTGGTGTGCAGCAGCTGTTAATCTTAGCTCTTCCTATGTGAGACATTTGAGTGACTTACTTTTGGTTTTGTATTTTGTGGATTATTTCTTTGCCCTTCATCAGAAAATTGATATTTTAAGTGCATTACATTCTTATAGCCAGAGATTATGAAATTCAAAGGGAGAGAATTGAACTGGGGCGCTGCATTGGTGAAGGACAGTTTGGAGATGTACACCAAGGAGTTTACATGAGTCCGGTAAGCCTCACTTCTGAAATAAAAACAAACAATAATACCTTTCTAGTTACAGAAATAAAATAAGAAATAAATATATTCCTTAGATACCTTGGTCTGAGGCTTTCCAGAACAAGTAAAAATTGACTTTGTGATTAATTTTTCAGAATAATGAGCATGTAGAGAATATTTTTCCATGTTTCAGTTAAGCAGGAAACTAGCTCCAGAGTAGTTTCTCTGCTTCTCTGTCCCCATTTTGTGTAGATCAGGAAAGGAATCAAAGAGCCAAGTAAACTATTCAGGACCGTACCAAAGCCACTGACTGAGCTGGAATTGGAAGTCATTGCTTTTAACCCCAGCCATACACTTTCTGCTTTATTTTGAGTGTATCCAACCGTGGTAAGCACACGTCCCTTTAGCCATACTCCCCTCCTGAGTGTTCAGTGCTTAAGGACCTTTTCCAAAGTTTAAAACAGTATTTATGGGTGGTTAGCCTGAGTTGGGTTTAGGTTCAGCGTTCAGTGCAGAAGCTGCCAACTCTGTCAGGATGAGCTAATCTTTCTGTACTAAAATGTGGAGAAGAAATTTTAATCTGTTACGCTGGAAGGGCAGTAGCCTACAACGGAGGGACAATAATGTTAAACAAATGTGTTCTCCAGTGAGCATCTCGCTATATCTCTCATGAAGAAGGTTGTATGTTAATAAAATTACTACTTTTTCCTGAAAGAAAAGACACAAAATACTTGGACACTGATTCAGCAAATCCCCAATGCACAAGAATTACCATGGTGAAACCAGTGAGGTTGGCAGGACTCGTGTAATCTAGGCTGGTGCTTTTGTCTTTTTCTAGACTGCAGCCACAAAGATTAAGATTGCCATTTAAATGGATGAAAAATTAAGTTTGTGGGAAGAAGAAAGAGAAAGCTGGAAAATTATTTCAACCAATTTCAGGTTACGATAAACTAATTCTGCAAGTGTAAAACGAAGATTTCTTTCTCATTTGAAGAAATTAAGTTTCTGGGGTTTTGATAGATGAAATAATAATTCATGTGGACAACAATCTAGTTCTAACTTCAGAAACAGCTGCTTAGTGTCCTAGGCTTAGTGGGTTAAATAAATAAATAATTCAGTATTTAAGTAAATAAATAAGGATAACTATTATATATATTTCAGACAGATTTGAAGTCTGTTCTCATACCTTCATTTAGCAAAGCAGTTCTGATGTACTTTGCATTAAGGGAGATCCTTATTTTTCATTTAATCCTGTCCAAGTTAACAGGAGTACTTGAAGGGTAATGTTTCACTGAACTTGGGGCATAGTGGATGAATCTAGTGCTCTGTAAAACCAATTAAAGACTCCTTTTCTTAGGGACTGTTGTTTTTAAAATGCGGTCTCTCTGTTCTTTTTCTTGAATTGGAAAACAGATTTTATTCAGTAATCCTGTGTCTAGTATAATTTTTTTAGATGGTAACCTGATGTTTACTTTTATTAATAATATTTTACCATGTTTAAGACACTTAAATATGTAAAGAGAAAACAGAAAGGTATTATCAGTAAATTTTAATGTACTATTCACAGTGTCTAACGTAAACTTTTGCAAGAAATCTTACTACAGATAAAAGATAAGTTACAATAACACGATAGTGTTTCCATCCTTGTAGATACTCAGCTCGCATGCAAAAATACAGGGGAGATTTCTGGCCTCTTGTTCTGCTAGCTCAAATTTGAATCTGAAAAATCTCATCTATCCTTGATCATTGCATTTGTAAAGTTCTTATTCTAGTGACTGCGCAGCACCCACCTCTTCTCGAATGCTGCTTACTACTAGGTATTCCTGAAATATCACAATCAGGCTGTATTTATAGGATACTGAATGGAAAATGTATGTATACATATAGGGTCCTGTTGTTCAGAGGCAAGCAATTTAAAAAACTCTGTCTTTAAAGGCCAGTTTACTGTGGGATTAATCCAAGAGTGTCATTGAAAATAGTTTTTCTGCTCAGTACACAAACTGTTGCCAGTCCAATATATCCTCACTGTTTTGTGTTCTCACCCAAGACCAAAACATCAGCCAAACCCTGATTTCGGGCCTTTTCCTCTATTCATTTTGCAAAATGTCTGGAGTCTTTGCTGGTTGCAGACATTGAAACTCTTTCTTTTGATGCTAATGTTAGTTCTGTTTCTAAAACTAGCTGTAACACCAGGAGAGGGGTTGGTCTGGCTGGCCTCCAGAGGTCTCATCCAGTGCTGATTACTGAATCCTGATTTCAGAAGGGAATAAAATTATCTTAATTTACCACCAGTTTTTCAGGCAGTTTATGGGCATGTTTATGTATGAGAAAAGGTTTTAATCAGTATTTTCCTGCAAAGTCAGCTTGAAGAGCTATGTTGTAACTTAGAAAATAGACATTTAAGCATGCAAAATGTAGATATTATTATAGTTCTGAAAATGTTTGTAAAAATAGATTTAAAATAGAGCAAGTATGAGCAGACATAGGACATAACTGTGAATCTTCAGTTCCCACTGGACTTAAGAACTAGATGAGGTCATACATCAACCCTGTAGCCTTTTGGGGACAGGTTCATTTGTAATCTTCCCATTAAACAATGCACAATCCCCAATTTCCCAGTTGGAAGGAAGGCATACTAGTCCTTGAGCAGGCCTATACCTAATGTAGAAGCTCAATTTTAAAACACTTCAGCTGCTTTCAACCCGGTAAGAACTTGTACGAGCGACGTCTTCTGAGCATTACTGTGGGGATACTCTGTATTGTAAAAATACTATTTTCTAGGTAAGCCATGCCATTTTAAATACTAGAGAAGCTCAAACACTTAAAGCTTCTTCTCAGTAGCAAAACGCTTGTAGCTTCTCTGTGCTGTCTTTAACTTATGGAAAGGGTATTTGAAAAACACACCAAAGCAAGAGAAGATGAAAGATGCTGCCTGAGCTGAGAGGCCTCCTTTGGGCTGTCTCAGTGCTGCTCATTTTTCAGTATTCAGAGGATAAGCAATCAGATGGTAAAATCTGCTTCTGATTTTGAATACATGTGTTCTGTTTAACTTGGTTGTAAGCCCTTGATGTAACCGATTGTGAAGCTAATATGTAAAATCTGTTTTACTTCCCTTTGTAGTTTGAGTTCCAAATTATAGCCAGTCTGCTCTGCAAAGAGACACAAAAAGTCCTTTATTTGGCTTTCTGGGTTACTTGCTTGCATAAGCAAAGTGTGTTTTTCAGGCATATATCTACTTGTTTCCTCTACTTTTGCTAAATGTTGTCAGGAGCTTACCATCCCCAGTAATGGAAGAAGTTTACAGTACTGTTCAGTTAAACTTACTGTCTTCTGTCATAATTTTTGTACGATTAAGCGCATTAGATGTAAGTGTTGTACACTAGATGTCTTGATTATAATATTTTAACATTGAAGCTTCAAAATGTAATTTCTTAACTAAAGATATTTTAGTTAATGGTAATTTTCTGTAAAGCAGTTTTGCTAGAATTTTAAAGTACTTGGCTTTTGGTGGGCTGTATTTCAGTTATTTCTCAATAATGTCTTTCAGGAAAATCCAGCTATGGCTGTTGCAATCAAAACATGTAAAAACTGCACCTCAGACAGCGTTAGAGAAAAATTCTTACAAGAAGCCTGTGAGTATTAAAATTCTCCTTTTGGGGTAGCTTCTGTAACTGGTCCTTGCAAAGAATGCAGCCATCTGTGCCAGAAACTTCTGATATTGATGTCAATCTTCTGTTAATATCTAGCATGACCTTTTCCTCTCCTGCAATATGTGCCAGAAAGACTGCTTTACATCCTTGCGTTGCCCATGTATATCATTATATGTGGGTTCTTTGATTTTTTGAATTGAACAGTGATGTCCGAGTTCTGTAAGGCTTCAGAACCAGTTTGGAAATACTAGAGAACTGGTCATCTATTTCTTTCTTTCACCTTATTGAGTTAGAAAAATCCATAGCACTTGTTTTAGTGTGTTACTTTAGAAGGTCAGGTGACTGTCATCTGCTGTTATATATCTATAAATCTCCTAAAGGTATTGTATTACATCAGTAAATTATTTGGTTATGGCCAGATGTTACGGTATACTTCTATTCACTATTCCTTTGTTCAAATATTTTTTTCCTAATTGTTCAGAAAATCCGTGTTCATAGCTAATGGCTTCTTATTTTTGGATGTCAGATTTCTCTTAAATTACTCTAATTTTTTCCATTACATTTCTAGCTGGTGGAAAAGTAAATACCACTGCCTGTAGTAATAACTTAGCAGTCAAAGGTAGGCTGCTGTCTCTTAACAATGTAGAAAATAATTGCACATTGAATGCTCCTTATTATGCTTTGAGCTTGACAGATTAGGAAATGCCAACATTGTAGACAGATAAATAGTGCTTTTCAGTTTTGATTTTAATAATTTTGCCATTTCTTTTTTCTTTTTTTTTAATTCTAATTCCCATCTGTTACCTTTCTCTTGTTTGTGTTCAAATTGCAAACTCTCTCAGAAGATACTGCCTGTTAGTTTTTAAGAACACTTTTCAAAAGGACAAAATCTGGAGAAGCAGGGTTGTTTATTTCAAGGAATTAAGAAATTTATTTACTAATATTTTAATACTAGCAATATTAAAATATTTGGGGGTTTTAGTTGTTTGCTTGTGGAGTTTTCAATGCGGAAAAGATTTAGTATTGATTCTTGCAAGAAGGTGCGCCTCAGAATAAAAGGCAGATGGAAGAAAATGTTTTTACAACCAATACCTGTCTCTTCATTCCTGTCTGCTTTTGTGTGGCAGTGTGTTACTGTTAATGCATTTATTTGTATATGCTAAAATAAAAACCACCAGCTTTGGGGAGATTATTATTGATCTTCCACTGGCTTTGGTATGTTGTTTCTTTCTGCAAGTCGTTCATTCCTCTTACCTCTGGAAGCTGGATGGCAAAACGATGTAATCGCTGTACTACCTTTCTGAATTTGTGAGCTTGTCAGCTAACATTGATTGACTTAATCTCTGGGAAGTACTTTCCAACAATGGAGTATTTTATGTTTAAAACTGGTAAGACCATTTGATAGAAAACTATTTGTGTTAATTGCCTTTCCGTTGCTTTGATAATTAGTTCCTGCTCCATTTTTACATGAATGAAGCAACATTTCCATGTTATAAAATACAGTAAATTGCATTGAATTAGATTAGCACAAGAGAACCCTAAAGGTAAATAACTGGGGTTTGTTTGGAATTTATGCTTTATTTACAAAGATTTTAATACTAACATTGAATTCTAGTTCTGCAATGCATACTTTTTCAAGGAATCAGAAATAGCTTCCCTCTCTGAAATTCCACTTACTTCAAAAGGGAAGAGGGGTTCCAGGGAGAGGATCAGGAAAGCCAAGGTACAGCTGGAGCTGAACTTGGTTAGGGACATGAAAAACAACAAGAAGGGTTTCTTCAGGTACATAGGACAAAAAAGGAAGATGAAAGAAACTGTACCCCCCTGATGAGCAAAACAGGAGACCTGGATACAATCGTGTCCTGGTTTTGGTTGGGACAGGGTTAACGTTCTTCAGAGTATCTGGTAAGAGGCTGTGTTTTGGATTTATGCTGCAAAGAAGGCTGATAAGGGACTGGGAGAATGAAGAACCGCCCACTGTAGCAGATCAGGTACGAGACTACCTAAGGAACCTGAAGGTGCACAGGTCCGTTGGGACCTGATGAGACACATCCTGAAGAAACTGATAGACGAAGTTGCTAAGCCACTATCCATCATATTTGAGAAGTCGTAGCAGTCTGGGGAAGTTCCCACTGACTGGAAAAGGGGAAATATAACCCCCATGTTTAAGAAAGGAAAAAAGGAAGACCTGGGGAATGACAGTCCAGTCAGTCTCACCTCTGTGCCCAGCAAGATCATGGAGCAGATCTTCCTGGAGATTCTGCTGAGGCACATGGAAAATAAGGCGGTGATTGGTGTACGCAACATGGCTTCAGCAAGGGTAAATCATGCCTGACAAATTTAGTGGCCTACAGTGGCATTACAGCATTGGTCGATAAGGAAAGAGCAGCTGACGTCATCTACCTGGGCTTGTGCAAAGCATTCAACACCATCCCACATGACATCCTTGTCTCTAAATTGGAGAGACATGGATTTGACAGTTGGAATGGCTCAATGTCCAACAGTTGGCTAGATGGTCACACCCAAAGAGTTGTGGTCAATGGCTCAATGTCCAAGTGGAGACCAGTGACGAGTGGTGATCCACAGGGTTCAGTACTGGGACCGGTGTTGTTGAACATCTTTGTTGGACACATGGACAGTGGGATCGAGTGCACCCTCAGCAAGTTTGCCAATGACATCAAGATGTGTGGTGCGGTTGACACAACACACTGGAGGGAAGGGATGCCATCGAGAGAGACCTGGACAGGCTTGAGAGGTGGGCCTGTGCAAACCTCGTGAAGTTCAACAAGGCCAAGTGCAAGGTCCTGCACACGGGTCAAGGCAATCCCAAGCACAAATACAGGCTGTGTGGAGAATGGTTTGAGAGCAGCTCTGAGAAGAAGGACTTGGGGGTATTGGTGGCTGAACATGAGCTGGCAGTGTGCACTTGCAGCCCAGCAAGCCAACTGTATCTTGGTCTGCATCAAAAGAAGTGTGACCAGCAGGTTGCAGTAGGTGATTCTCCCCCTCTACTCCACCCTTGTGAGACCCCACCTGGAGTACTGCATCCAGCTCTGGAGTCCTCAGCACAAGAAGGACATGGACCTGTTGGAGCGAGTCTGGAGAAGGGCCACAAAGATGATCAGAGGGCTGGAGCATCTCCTGTATGAGGACAGGCTGAGAGAATTGGGGTTGTTCAGCCTGGAGAAGAGAAGGCTCCTGGGAGACCTTAGAGCAGCCTTCCAGTACTTAAAGGGGGCTACAGGAAAGTGGGGGAGGGACTGCTGATCAAGGAGTGTAGTGTTAGGATGAGGGGTAACAGTTTTAAGCTGAGAGTTAATTTAGATGAGATACTAGGGAGAATTTTTTCCTATGAGGGTGGTGAGACACTGGCAGAGGTTGCTGTGGCTGCCCCATCCCTGGAGGGGTTCAAGGCCAGGG